TATTTATTTTGGCCACACGCTGCTTTTATGCACAATCCCCTACATGGGGTCTCCCATACAATAATACAGGGCTTTTCTGCCCAAGATCCTCTACAGAAAAATATAACATTTTCTAAAACATTCCAAAAATACATTTTCAAAAGGGGCCAATTTGATTGCATGGGAGGTCAGAAGGTTGATAGACTTAATTCCTCTTTGAAGCTGGGACACCAACCAAGCTGCTCTGTAAGGTGTGAGAAGTCACACATAAGTCGCCTGGAAGTCTGGTTTAAATATAAACTAACTCTCTAGCGTGCCATATGTCTAGATTCCCCCTTGGATGGGGGATTCACTTGATACAGTAATGGCCAGTAGCCTTGTGTTCCAGTATCATACCCAAAAGGAACCAAGTAATACACTACCCACAAGATTATTACATTAGGCCCCACAAGCCCATACAAGGGTTTCTTACACAAAAATCACAGGTTGTGCGTCCACCTTTCCTGTACGGAGATAATGGAGTCAGGAACTGTACTAACTTAATTATATCAAATACATCTCCGGATAGCCCTAATCTGTGTGACCAACATATCCAAAATCCCACTTAGATGGGTTCCAGGTTTTCCCGCGAGTCCGCGTTTTGACGAGCATAAACATGGCTTCTGCCCAAACTCCAGGAAAAATGGTAACGTCGGTCAACTTTGGTAGCACAAAAAATAATAATAATAAAAAAAAAAAAAAAAGGAACTACCGAACATGGAGCTTGTTCCCCTCATCCAGACAAATGATTCTACCGAAGTGTTCTTCTAGGATACAGAACCGAACGCAGGCGATGATGGAAGTCCAGTGGTGTTTGGTCATGGAACTAAAAATCGGACACAGACTCCCAAAACACCGCTGCCTGTGTTCATACGAACAAGATGGCCCTCACCTCATGGTCGTTCATATGAATTGGAATCGTCACCAGGTGTCAATATGGCTTAACAAGAACACGGGTGGTCCTAGGTTCAGGCGTCTGTTCGGTTCCCGAGCAGTATAGCGAAATGGCACAAAGAAAGTCTTTTAACAGTGTTTTTGCAGGGCCCATGGTCTTTGGGCAGGAGGCTAGCTAGCAGGCCCCTCCAGGAACACGTGGCAGAGGCATTTCTAGCACAGGGAACCCACAAAGTTGGTTCAGTAAACGAACGAGGGGGGGTACGGACAGCTGAACAAACGACATAAAAGTGAAGTTAGGTCCTCTATTTCGCTACATTTACTGAGCGACACACACACACACGAGTAAGCGTGACTGTAGTGAACATCGCAAAGTGTTAACTGCGCTCCAGTCCGAGTGACGCAAACCTGGAAAAGCTGTTGCGAGTAGCAACATTATCAGGACCAGTCAACATCACACACACCTCACCAAAGGCGAGTAGTTCCAGCCATCACATTAGTGGTGAGTTAAACGTTTGACTCAATTACAGCAGACTAATTTTGAATGGTCCACATGTTATAAATATCCCTATCACTTAAGGCTCTTTCGTTTATTTTGTTCGTGTCTACATTCATTTTGTTTGGTTCCCGTACCCAGACCACCCCGGAAACCAATTAGAACATTATGTATCTGTACGAAAACCGCAAAGGAAATCATTAATAGAATGCTCCACTAGGTGACTGCCATTTCGTACATGAGAACGCACATGGCTGATTCTATGCCAGTGATATTTTGCCTGTGGGAATTATTTGCAGTTTCTCTTGGAAAAGGGGTATCCGTGACGGTGATATCACCCCTGCTATAGAAGAACAGTGTCCAATCTTGCCTGTAACTACTATCGTCCATCCACAATGCTCTGTTGACCAATGGCAGGAAACACCTGGTCTATCGTTAGTACATTATCAGTCAAAGAAGGTTTAGGAGTTGCTTTAAGTTATACTCACTGTTACTTTCTGACTTAGGAGGTTCATCATCTTCTTTCAGGACCAACTTGTTGAGCTACATGGAGGAACAAAAATCACTTATTTGTACGTGATATGCATAAAACAAAGATACCATACTACTTAGCTCAGTAAATTCAATAAAAAGAATATTAGATTTGTAGAAATGAAAATAAACAGTCTTCAAGACATACAGTTCCACTATAACCATGAAAATTACTCAAAGATACAACTGTAAAGAATCAAAATAAGTTCAGATATTATGGCTGGCATGGTTTAAACCCACCCCCCGCGACCCAGTTGATGTTCTCAGCCAATTAACGAGCCCACACTGCAGGGCTTAACTCAGGAAAGCAAAAAAGCAAATTAAAGGGACACTATAGTCACCTGAACAACTTTAGCTTAATGAAGCAGTTTTAGTGTATAGAACATGCCCCTGCAGCCTCACTGCTCAATCCTCTGCCATTTAGGAGTTAAATCCCTTTGTTTATGAACCCTAGCCACACCTCCCTGCATGTGACTTGCACAGCCTTCCATAAACACTTCCTGTAAAGAGAGCCCTATTTAGGCTTTCTTTATTGCAAGTACTGTTTAATTGAGATTTTCTTATCCCCTGCTATGTTAATAGCTTGCTAGACCCTGCATGAGCCTCCTGTATGTGATTAAAGTTCAATTTAGAGATTGCAATACAATTATTTAAGGTAAATTACATCTGTTTGAAAGGGAAACCAGTTTTTTGTTTTTTTCCCATGCAGGCTCTATCAATCATAGCCAGGGAGGTGTGGCTAGAGCTGCATAAACAGAAACAAAGTGATTTAACTCCTAAATGACAGTGAATTGAGCAGTGAAATTGCAGGGGAATGATCTATACACTAAAACTGCTTTATTTAGCTAAAGTAATTTAGGTGACTATAGTGTTCCTTTAAAAAGACTAAGATCATAGAAAACAGATGGGGAAGAAGTGGAGGCAGTGACAGATTTTATTTTCCTGGGATCAAAGATCTCTTCAGATGGTGACTGCAGTCATTAAATTAAAAGGGGTTTGCTTCTGGGGAGGAAAGCTATGGCAAGCTGGTAAAAACTAAAGATATTAGACTATCAAAGGTCCGCATAGTCAGAACTATGGTATTCCCAGTAGTAACATACGGATGTGAGAGCTGGACTATAAAGAAGGCTGAGCGTCCTAGAACTGATGCCTTTGAACGGTGTTTGTGAAAACTGCTTAGAATCCATTGGATTGCAAGAAGATCCAATAAATCCGTACTACAGGAAATCACTGGAAGCTATGGTCACAAAGCTCAAATATTTTGGCCATATAATGAGAAGGCAGGATTCTCTAAAGAAGACTGATGCTGGGAAAGATTGAAGGCACACGAAGAAGGGGACGACAGAGACGGAGAGATTAAGTCACTGAAGCCACGAACATGAAGTTGTTGGAGCTCAGAGGCACCTGGCATGTGTGGTCCCTATGGTCACGGAGAGTCGGACACGACTGAACAATAACATTTTTAAACAGAGAGTCAGGTTCAACTGCTTTGATACCATTAGAAGATCCTCGTTTCCAAAGTAAAGCAAGGCATTTTTTGTTTGCCAAACCTCTCTGTATCCTTACATTTGTCACCAGCCCCTTCTCCTCCCTCTCTCTGAGCCACCTCGTCCAAGATCCAGATCAGCAATTCACTTTTACTACAAGTTTTTATTTTTTTATTTTAATAGGCATCTATGAAATAAAGTCTATAGCAGAGGTTTCATTGCCAGCTCTTTAAAGGTGTGTTGGGCAAGACAGGTACACAGCTAAATTAATGTTATTACTTGAACAATGATGGATGGGAATGATTTATTGTAGTTAGACTAGGATAGTTACAGCAGCATTTTCTATTAGAGATGTTTCCTTATTCCATGGTTATTGATAAAAGCACGCTATAGATTTATCTTAGCATTGCATGAGAGTATAAATAAATAAAACAAGAGGGGGTTGGCTGCCCTCACCTTAACATGCATAAATGGGGGTGCTGCTAGGGGCCATTTATGCATGTTAAGGTGAGTGCAGCCAACCCCCCCTTGTTTCATATGTATATATTTGGGAGTCTAGCCAACTCCTTGGTTTTGGACCCCTCCCTGTCACAGGTGCCTCATCCCAGGGCCCTATTTAGCCTTGTACTGCAGAGAGCCCCAGATGGAATTTCTTTCCCCAAGTAGGTTAATCTCATAAGAGCAGACATTAGGCTGTTAGTGTAGGACCTGCCAAAGATGGGGTACATTGACGTTGTGGCAGGCTTATGCAATGTATGATCATATAATGTAACTAAACCCCCCATTATTTTTGCCTAGATTAGGTGTTTTTAGAAAAAACAAAAAATCTTTCAACATTGAAGTTCCTGTTTAGTGGATAGGCGAGTGCGCTG